TCCATCGCCTCTTACGTGTCGCGGCTGCGCGGGCCTTAAATTCATAACCGCCACTGCATGCATAAATACTTACACCTACCTAAATACAACATATCGACGGTGTAAGTGCGTAACCATTTATCTCGTTTGCGATGTCTCAAAATTTCCGCTGTTATTTTATTTATTGAATTAAAGGAGAACAAATCGGAAAATCCTCTTTGAGACGGTAACTTTTGCAACACTGGGGTGCCGTCTCTTACGCTCTAAGGACAAGCTTGATACACGAATGTGTAGCATTTTCAATCTACTTTCATTTGAAAGGATCTACTTACTTTAAAGAATAGCTGAACAACAGTTACAAGCAAAAAACCATTAAAAAACGAAATTTTGAAAATTTTGGGCTATCTATGAGAACCCTGTAGTGACCGCAATTTTCATCAGAAAAATTTCAAACCGGGTTAAATAAGACCGAAATTTTTATCTGCCTTTCAAGATCCACAAACTCTGTGTTAAAATCAACGGCTTCGGCGATAATAGCCGTAAAACGAGAGAATAACCTATTTTTGACCGTTTTTTTATCGGGGGGGGGGGCTTACAGGGGTACCCATGATTGTTCGAGGGGGCAATTTTGGATTCTCGTTAAGGTCCCCCTATAGATGAGAAATTAAATGAGAAAAAAAGTTCTGCTCCCAAAACATGCGATGGTAGCCGAAAAACGAGAGAAAATAATCAATTTCTGACTGTTTTTTTGATGTTGGGGGTTTTCGGGGGGGTTCCCATGATTTGTCGAGGGGGCAAATTTGGATTCTCGTTCAGGACCCTCTGAATATGAATAATTTCACCCTACTATATATAATTCTAATCGATTTCATGCATTCTAGGCAATCCTGAACACATATCTTGAGGGGCAATCTCAAAGTATGCGAAAACGTCCGATGTCCATTATTTTTCTTCTTCCGCCGTCACGTAACTTTCTTTGAAGCCTCGAAGAAAAGAGAAATATTTTTTTTGTGTTACTGGAGGTCTCACATTATGTTTTACTCTAGTTTAAAGGTTTTTGGAGGGGTCAAAAATAATGGTTTTTGGGCAAATTTTTGCAATGTATGCGAAAACGTCCGATGTCCAAAGCCCTTTTTTTAAAATTACTCAGCATTGAATGGAAGTTGGAATGGGACACAGTTGTGTGCCTTTTCTACAACCCTTTACTAAGAAACACACGCCTTGATTTTCTTCAAAACGCCGATTCTAAAGGCCTCCACATTTTTTTGCGGTTTACCAAAAGTTGATTTTTTGGACATCGGACGTTTTCGCATACCTCGATTCAAATAAAAACAAGGGAATTTTCATTTTTCAAAGTTGGGCTTTTTTTCAATGCAAACTATTCAACTTATTTGGCGATTATTGGTTTTTTTGATAAGTATTAATATTATTTATGATCTTCGGTATTTAATTTTCAACGATCGTTAATTCTCTTCAATATCGCTCATTATTTTGGTAATCACAGACTCATTGAAAGATGCCTTAATGCCTGGTTGGTGAAATGCCTCTAAGTTTGGGTTTTGCTCAAAGGCCTTGTGAAAACAAAATGTGCATTTTCTAAAGTGGTAACTGATTGTTCTTCCATTTGTTGGACAGGTGTTTGCAGTTTGAGGAGCAGTCCTCAGTAGAGTACATCAAACAGCTTTGTCTCACATGTCTTTTGCATTCGCATGAGAAGGTTCTTGAAAATATGTCTGTGAGTAAAGATTTGTCAGCGATCAATATGGACATGGATTTCAGTGAAATCATTGTTGAATGCATTAGAGGAACTCAAAACCCTCAAACGCATCATCATGCGTTACTTGTTCTCACAAAGATGGCTGTGTTGTTCCCTGTAAGTTCTCTCCAGTCTTATCATATGAATTTTATTATTATTTTTCAATCATTCCATACTTTGTTTTGAAAAATTAATTTAACACCCAGCGATTTGATGTTTTCCATTTCTTACCCACTCACTTCCATGATATCTTTACAGATAATATGCTGAAACCTTTGCTAAACATGTGCTATAACGTGGCAACATTTTTGCGCATGTTTTTCCAGATGGGTAGATATTTCAACCATTTTACTCTTTTTTTCCTTTTTTTATTATGTTCTATTTATTGTAATCTTCTATGTGCAAGAGAAGTATACAGGGTGTTCCAGAAGTCCCGCTCCCCCCCCCCCCTATCTTTTGAACGATTTGAGATAGAAAAATGAAACTTTGGGAATGTTTCTATCTCAAAAAGGACCATCTTCTAGGGGGGGTCAAAATTTTTTCGTAACCCCTATCTTGTGATACATCATTGGAAAGACTATTAAGAACTAAGAATTTTGGCGCAAACCGCAGATCAATATCTTAATTTTTGACCGAGTTATGATACAAGGTCTGTCTGGAAAGTATCAAGCTTTTTTATTTTTAAAGGAAACTAGCTGACCTAGGGCTTTGAAACTTTGGTCTCCCTCAAAATACTCTCTACCAAACAAATGCACTTGTTCCAACGGTATTTTAACCTCTGGAAGCACTCGGCAAAATCCTTCCTCAGGATAGCCATCAGTTGCTGCGTCGTGTTTGCTTTGATATCTTTGACCGACTGTAATCAAGTTCCTTTCAACGCGCTTTTGAGTTTTGGGAACAGCCAGAAGTCACAGGGTGCCAGGTCTGGACTGAAGGGGGGGGGGTGCAGCACCTGTGCGATCCCGTGTTTCGCCCAAGGACTAGGCACAAGGAATGGGCAGGAGCGTTGTCGTGGTGGAGCATCCAGGCGCCGCTTGCCCAGAACTCAGGATGCTTCCGCCTCACCGCATCCCTCAAACGGCGCTAAGTTTCCCTATACATTTCTTTGTTGATAGTCTGTCCCTGGTGGGTATACTCATGATGCACAACACCTTCTTGATAAAAAAAAAAAACTGTCAACATGACTTTAACTTGGCTTGACTTGCTACGCTTTCTTTGGACGCTCTTCCCCCTTCGCAATCCAAGCTGAACACTGGACTTTGGTTGCAGGGTCGTACTCGTACTCGTAGACCCACAACTTGTCTCCTATAATGATTGATGTGTCAATCCGAGATTGAAGCAAAACTTGATTCAAATTCGCTGATCCTCGCGCTCGGACATTTTCGCGGAAAACAAAAATGCGATGCCAGCACTTGATACACACTGTTTAATCAGGTGCTCGCTGTCAACTGATTAAACGCATGTCATAGCGATTGCGTGTGTGCTTTTAGGAGGATATGGACGAAGTCCCAACTTTCTATCTATGATAGATTCCAAGACATAAGAAGAGGCTTGATACTTTCTGGACAGACCTGGTAGGTCAAAGGTCAAATTTGACCTATTTTCAAAAAATCATATCTCTGGGTTTTATCGTATAGAAAAAAATAAAACGGAAATATTTATCAAATTGTAATCACTTGTATGTAAAAATCACAGAAATCACTTTGAACTAATTTTTAGTGGAGGTTCGGACCCCCGAATATGCCAGTTCAAAGGTCATTCGATTGTATTGCGGAAGGAGCCAATTTCCCCCAACTTTGCTTCAACATTATCTCAATAAATTTTAAATCAGTTCAACATTTTGTTTGTAAGTCCCCAAATTTCGGGGAAAGTTGAAAAAACGATCTTAAATAGTCAAATTTAATCACCGTAAATTTCGTTTAAAAAAATTAGTAACACTGGTGTTGGCAACAATTACATTAAACAAAACAGAAAGTATAATAGGGAGTATATATGCTACGGGTAATCTAGTCAAACCAGGTAATGTCGACATTACCCGGCACGGTGCCCCTGAACTCACTTTAAATGCGACTTTGTTGTACATCAAAAATTCAAGTTGGAGGTTGTAGTGGGGTACTCCCTGATGGGTTTTTGGGCAATTTCGAAATAGGTTGTCGGAGCTCCTCGAAAAATAATCGCATTTTTGTGGTTTTTTAGGGGTAAAATAGCAAAATCGGCCTCGGGGCGACAAATTAAACCCCCTCTCCGTCATCCTTGCCTTGACCGATCTGAATTTTTAGTATGTTTTTACCTGGTATAATATGAGACTTTTCTGAAATTTTCATGCCCATACAAATTTTTTTGCTCCCGCGACAGCGTTGCCAAGTTGCGGACTCCAAAATATCGAATTTAATGATAAAATGAAGGTTTCGGAGTGTGATTTCCATTCAAAATCAAAAATTCAAATTGTAAGTTGTAGTAGGGTACTGCCTGATGGGGTTTTGGCCAATTTCGAAGTAGAGTGTTTGAGATTTTTGAAAAATAATCGAATTTTTGCGGTTTTTTAAGGGTAAAATAGCACACTGAGCATGGGGCGGCAAGTTAAACCTTTTCTCTCTCATCCTTGCCGTGACCGATCTGAACTTTTAGTATGTATTAACCTGGTATAAGATGTGACTTTTCTGAAATTTTCATGCCCATACAAAATATTTTGCCCCCCGCGGCAGCGTTGCCAAGTTGCGGACTCAAAAATATCGAATTTGATGATAAAATGAAGGTTTCGAGGTGTGATTTCCTCCAAAATTTCACGAAAAATGTGCAATCTGAGAGTTTTCGATAAGAAAAGGCATATTTGAACAATTTAGAGTTGCAGTGTTGCCAGCTTTCGATTTAAAATTCGTCAAAATGACCCAAATCGCGTTGCAACCTCAAGCGCTGGATTTTTATTTCGTTCAGAATTGGTTATTACGGTTCTTCTGTACTCTATGCATTTAGGTACCATGAAAATTATGCCATTACTTACTTGATGGGTGCAGCTAACTCAAAAAGAGAGGCCGGATAAAGCGATGAGTCGGGGGAAAACGAGCGGTTCGGGTTGACAGAAAGTTCTTAAATCTACTCCATCTCCAGAAAGTAGAATTTGAGAACTTTCTCCCACCCCCCAAACCTTATCCCTATTGCAGTCAATCCTTTGAACATCTTATCTGAAATTTTGCCCCCGAATTTTTCCCCAAAACACAAAAAAAAAATAAACTAGATGATGAAATTATGACTTTTTATGATCGGAACAAACCTGATGGAGTCCATCTAAATTCAAGAGGCCTCTTGATCATCTGGAATCTCATGCAACAGAGTTTGCCATGAATGGTATGTTTCCTTATTTAGTCCAGAAATATTTGATTTTTCGGAATGTCAAACATGTCTTATACAACCAAAAATTTACAAAGCATTTTTAATTTCGTCATCTAGTTTATTTTTTTTTTTTATGAAGGAGTTTATTTTCAACATTACTCAAATTTATTGTGATCTTTTGTAATTTTTTTATTCTTTAAATTGTCGAAGGTATTTTCTTTACAGTAAGAAGTCTTCTGGATTCGAACTATCCAATCCGCTGTATGAGAGGAGGTCGAATTCAGGGACTTCATAGCGTTATTTGAATCGTTGTTATCCACCCATTTTATTTGTGTTTTTATTTTTCATGTTTTTGGGAAAAATTCGGGGGCAAAATTTCAGATAAGATGTTCAAAGGATTGACTGCAACAGGGATAAGGTTTGGGGGGTGGGAGAAAGTTCTCAAATTCTACTTTCTGGAGATGGAGTAGATTTAAGAACTTTCTGTCAACCCGAACCGCTCGTTTTCCCCCGACTCATCGCTTTATCCGGCCTCTCTTTTTGAGTTAGCTGCACCCATCAAGTAAGTAATGGCATAATTTTCATGGTACCTAAATGTATAGAGAGTACAGTATATAGAGTACAGAAGAACCGTAATAACCAATTCTGAACGAAATAAAAATCCAGCGCTTGAGGTTGCAACGCGATTTGGGTCATTTTGACGAATTTTAAATCGAAAGCTGGCAACACTGCAACTCTAAATTGTTCAAATATGCCTTTTCTTATCAAAAACTCTCAGATTGCACATTTTTCGTGAAATTTTGGAGGAAATCACACCTCGAAACCTTCATTTTATCATCAAATTCGATATTTTTGAGTCCGCAACTTGGCAACGCTGCCGCGGGGGGCAAAAAATTTTGTATGGGCATGAAAATTTCAGAAAAGTCACATCTTATACCAGGTTAATACATACTAAAAGTTCAGATCGGTCACGGCAAGGATGAGAGAGAAAAGGTTTAACTTGCCGCCCCGTGCTCAGTGTGCTATTTTACCCTTAAAAAACCGCAAAAATTCGATTATTTTTCAAAAATCTCAAACACTCTACTTCGAAATTGGCCAAAACCCCATCAGGCAGTACCCTACTACAACTTACAATTTGATTTTTGATTTTGAATGGAAATCACACTCCGAAACCTTCATTTTATCATTAAATTCGATATTTTGGAGTCCGCAACTTGGCAACGCTGTCGCGGGAGCAAAAAAATTTGTATGGGCATGAAAATTTCAGAAAAGTCTCATATTATACCAGGTAAAAACATACTAAAAATTCAGATCGGTCAAGGCAAGGATGACGGAGAGGGGGTTTAATTTGTCGCCCCGAGGCCGATTTTGCTATTTTACCCCTAAAAAACCACAAAAATGCGATTATTTTTCGAGGAGCTCCGACAACCTATTTCGAAATTGCCCAAAAACCCATCAGGGAGTACCCCACTACAACCTCCAACTTGAATTTTTGATGTACAACAAAGTCGCATTTAAAGTGAGTTCAGGGGCACCGTGCCGGGTGATGGCGGCAATAATTGACATTACCCAGGCCGTTTTGGTTAGGTTAGGTTAGGTTATGATACCCGCCATCCCACCCCTCAGTCGTCAGGGAGGGCCGCAGACGGGACCGGCTAGACCTAACCTAACCTAACCTAACCTAACCAAAACGGCCTGGGTAATGTCAATTATTGCCAATATTACCCAGTTTGACTAGATTACCCGTAACATATACATTATAATTGGTCATGGGATGTGTTCAGCAGGACTGTTTTACATGGCAAACATTATATATAAAAACTCCATGTCTCGTAGCACCCCCCCCCTTAAAATCAGTTTGAAGTGGTTTCTGTGATTTTTACACACAAGTGATAACAATTCGGTAAATTTTTCCGTTTTATTTTTTCCTTTACGATAATTTGACCTGGAGTTATGATTTTTTGAAAATAGATCAAATTTGACCCTTGACCTATCATAACTCGGTCAAAAATAATAAGTCAAAACAAAGTCAAGGGAAAGACATCTAAATATCATTTCTAAATAAAAGAACATCTCCTTCAAATTTTCAGGGGTAAAGTAGAACAAATTCTTAGTCAATCTATAACTATAGATCTTGCGATGAACAAATGAACCACAAAGTTTTTCACTTCTAACTTAGATCTTTATCTTTTTCTGAATGAATAATGCACTACGATTTTCATCAACATTATAATTGAGTTGCTCCAGGAAAACGCATAAAATCAGCTATTCTTTGATTTTAAACTTTCATAATGACCCTCGTGATGTTCAGCAAGTTGAAGAATGTGAAATGCTACCTAATTTAAGAAATATTGTAAATAATTCTCCTGGTTTTCTAGACAATATTGAGGCAACTGTCAATCAAGAGAAAAATAGATACACCTGTTCCAGACGAAAATGTTCAGGTTTCTGTTCATTTTAACATTTTTTTTTTTATTTTCCAGAATCAAGTCATGCACAATGTAATGCCGCTATTTACTTTTATTGGATCAAGTGTTTTGCGGCAAGATGACTCGTACAGTTTTCAAATAGTTTTTAAAATAATCGAAACAGTAATCCCTGTTTTACTTCAAGTAAGTAGCCACCAAAGATTTTGGAGTCAAAGAATAGGATCAAAAAAGGAGGAAAAAGTTCAATAAATCAGGTGGTAAAATAGGAAAAATCAATTGGCTTATGGGTTCCTTATCTGGAGAGGGCGTCACAAATTGGGGCTATTCCCAACCTTCCCGCATCTCTCATATATTCTAAAGGTTGTTCAGAGTGTCTACCAGTCCCCTAAGTCCCCGATTGCCCCCAATTCTGGGAAGGTGTCCCCGATCTCCCGGAATGTCCCCGATTTTCATGTTAAGGTCCCCAAAATCTGACAAGAATCATCCGCCGAAAATTTCAAACTAACAGTTGCGCGCAAGGCAGCAGAAATTTGAATCCTCGCTGGCATCTTTCGGCGGGAACGGTCCGAAACTTGGAGAGCTCAGTGCCGAGTTTATCTATATTTTATTTTGTCGCCTTCTCTCGCGGCTTTTCTCTCCTCTATAAATATGTAAAAATGTCCCTAATTTTTATGAAAGAAGTCCCCAAATGTCCCTGATTCTGGTTTTTTTTCAAGCTGGTAGACACCCTGTTTTTAGAGAATCGTTTTTAAGTTCAGAACACCCCAAATCATAGTGAAATTTAATCACCGNGGGGGGGGGGGGGGGTTAAATCTGAAATGGGAATGATGTAACTCCTCCATGGTTTGTGAAGAAATCATCTTTAGTCTCACTTTTTCGTGGATCATCAGCTTTTAGTCAACACTAATGGCATTGATATTTTTTGACGATTCAACTCATTGCTCAGTTTCCGTTCTTCTTTTACTCAATTGCTGATTTCTGAGAAGAGGCACCTAACAGCACTGCAGCTGTACTTTTTTATTTAGATTATTAATCCATATGATCAATTGAAGATTTTAGAAGTTCTTGAATCATTTTTTTAACTATATCTTCAATTTTTCTGTTTTAAATTATTTCAGGCAAGCAATAAACATGAAATGGCAATCTCAATTTTGCGTGTATTTGCATCTGCTCTGTTGGATATTCCAGAGCACAGAAGATTATCTCTGTTGATTAAATTGCACAAAACATTAGAAAACTCTGAATATTTGTGGATTTTTATGGTGTTCGTTCTAGAATCCTATGTCCTGTATCATTCTGCTAACAAATTAGATACCGGTGGGTACATATACAATGGTTAACTTAGGATAACTGAAACAATTAGGCAGACTAACAACTTGAAATTTTCAGTAGTGAATTCATGCAAAAGTTATTTCAGTCGAAAAAAAAGAACTAGTAATCTCAAAGTTCAAAGAAAGATATCTAATGGTAATTGTATTCATTTCCTCACAAAATCCATGATCACGATGTTGAGTGAATCACAATTCTGAATGATTTTTACTTTCTCGCTACCTAAAATTTGGGGGGGCTAGGGGCCAAGGTCCATTTTTAGCAAAATCACACGGAAAGCTCATTTTGAAGGACTGTAAATTTTGAAAAATGCCTTTAATGCTTTAACAGTGGGCATCAAGCACATCACCTGGGTCGTTAATTTAAGTTCCTAAAAGATCTATGGGCTAAACTCAAAATTTAAGGGATTTCGAGGCACAAAAGTAGGGCACTTGGCTCCGCGACATCACACAAACAGCTCATTTTCAAGGACTGTAAATTTAATAAAAAAATGCCTTTATTTCTTCGAAAGTTGGCATAAGAGCACCACCTGGATCATTAATTTAAGTTCCTAAGAGATCTTTGGACTAAGGTAAGAATTGAAGGGTTCTGGTCAAATAGCGAGGGGAGCACTTTGATCACACGGAGAGCTCACTTTCACGGACTGTAGATTTTAAAAAAAAAAACCTCTAATTCTTTGATAGTTGGCACAAAAGCACCACCTGAGTCATTAACTTAAGTTCCTAAAGGATCTTTGGACTAATCTCATAATTGCAAAGGGGCGGATAGCAAACATTCAATTCTCCGATAAATGAGTCGGAACGCTCCTGGGTATTAGCAGCGAACGCTTTGAGTCAGGTGAGACCTAGGATTTCAAATGCATCATAAAATGCATCATATACTATCTCCAAAATTACTCTGTAGGTATACACCAAGCAAAATAGGTAGATACTTACATACTGTGAATCATCGAAGCTAACACTAGAACTGACGCTTCGATCTTTATTAGAAACTAATATGTTTGTTGTTAATGAACTTAGAATCTCGGCAGATTCCATCATTCGTGGTTCCTTTTTACGAGGTACTGAACACAAATATAATAATAATAATACTGTACGAGCATGATTGATTTAATGATTAATGATTACACAAAAGCGAATTTGTTTACATATCACAGAGGTTTATCACGGACTGTTTGTGTTGTTGATGTTCCGACTTCGAGACATGGGGATACGAGCTAAGGAGGTGGCGCTTTCAGCGGGCGGGTGGTGAACCATTTTCAGCGGGGAGATTTCGACTGCCAATTTTGAAATTTGGGGTAGATTGCCTGGCAATACCCGCTTTATTTTAAGATTATTTAAACAACGAATAGTGATTCTACCCATTAAAGTAGGTTTTCGATAGCTTTTACCGTGCTTAAGGAAACAATATAGTTTATAATCGTATCTAAATTATGATGTCAATGAATCCAATAGATCCTAATGAATCGTAGAAAAGCTAAGATTTTTAAGGATCGCCATCTTTACTAGAAGGCATCATTAATCAATTATTTATTGGAAGATGCCTCATAATATTGACAAGTCGATTCTGAATGTATGGATTCATCATATAGTCTAGTGGTTTGATCAAAAATTTCAAAACTATTATCGTTTCAAAATTCCAATCGAACTTCATGATTTTGTGAAATTGACAGTATTTTTCTAAACAATCCAGTTAAAGTGTTTATGCTGGCGCGGAGCGCCGGCAAAAGTGAGTAAGTCTTGTGCAATCCTCGCACTATGATGGGAGGGCGAAGCGCCCCCTTATATGGTTGAAGTAGAGTTTATACTTGTCAAAGAGATCAGCATTTAAATACTTTTTTTTAGTTCCACGTTTCTGATTTTGTGTAATTTCAGGAGCAACTGACACAGCTTCAAAATCTAGCAAAGAATCGAAGCATTTAAAGTACTTAGAAGATTTATGTGCCGAACTTCCTGCTCAAACTTTGATTCGTAATATCAACCATCTATTTTCGTACATCCTAGCTCTTCCTCATGTAAAAGGTTTGTTTAGATGTTTCCTTCCTAATTTCAAATCATACTTTTTTTCTTTCTAACAAACTAAATATGTAAATATCGTGACTGCTAGAGTTGTAGATTACTTGCATTTAGCCTCATGATATAATCTCATTCACATGCTGCGTACCCTAGATAATCTATACCAGCTTCTTTTCTCAGTTATTGAGGTCAGACGAAGTTAAGGACCGTAGGGCGAAGAGGGAACTGTCTCTAAGGAATCCAAGTTTCAACATTCTTAGGTCCTAGTGTCTCTTTGGGAGTCCATGGAGGATCTTAACCTTAAAAATCAAAGGTCTCATCAAAATTTTTAAATTATTTAATGAAAACAAGGAACTTTCAACCTAGATCAACCGCGGTGAATCCACAATTGGTTCGTTTCTGTTCGAAATACAGACCCCGGAAGTAAAAGGACAGAGCCTTCCTGAATATAATAAGAGGGTACTAAAGAGATGTAAAGGCGTGGCCAAAAAAGTGTTTTCACAAGTAATCAATCATGAAGAATCTGAATCTCACGGTCCTGAAGCCCCCTAAGGCCTTGTTGATGGGGTAGAGAGGCGATGGGGTTAGGGTGGCCCTAAGGACCCCGCACACTCCTAATGGGCACGTGTACCACGATCGATACTTAATTTTTTTATTGTTTTAAATTCATCTATGGATGTTGATCAAAAGTCATACTTGTGCAAGCCACCATTTTTGCATAATATATGTTTGACGTTATGGTAATTTCCAGGACAGGCTTTTTGAAATCAAAACGCAGTGCGTGTCTGTCTGGTAAGGATAATAGAGTGGGAGAGAGAAAGAAACTGATTTGGACCAGGAAAAGAAAAGTCATGTGGAATCCGAAATTAGACCATCGCTTGGCTGCTGATCAGTTTCCCTGTTTACATGATTTACCGTGATTGACCCAAACTGTACTCAAGTCCTTGTCACCCTCATTTATGCAAGGAATTATCTCATTGTTGCTCTATTCTCCTATTTTCTTTGAATTTTACAATTTAATATTTTCGCACCACTCACTATACTTGTATATTTTTGTTTCATTTTTGCCTCTTCATTTCTTCACGGATAAAAGGTTTCAAAGGGAGTTTGATAATTATTTTGGAAAAAATATGTGAAACAGTCTTTTTGTTAAAAAAAACATGACTCATGAAACATGACATTCGGAATGATGTCAATCCCATGCGAAGTACGGGAACTGCTGCAAGTAATTTCATAATTGTGAGAAGTATCAAAGGCAAGACCCCCCTTTCATTTTCGAAGGGCCGCCATCCAGGGAACTTAAGGATGATGAAATTCGGATTCATGGGGGTCTTCAGTTTCAATTCCCATTTGTTTTTTTTCAGTTCTCATCCTCCATTTTGTCCGACCTGAAATAACCTGGAAAAAGCCTGTTACACATCGTCTGGGACACCCTGTTTTTCTCTTCCTCATACTTTTCTCGGGCTCTTTATCTCTTACTAACCTGAGTCACACTGTCAAAGCTACCTATCAAAATATCAAGGTCAAGTGCTGATTAGTCCAAGTCATAGTCACACACGTAACCAGTCCAGTCATAGTCGTAATCACAACACCTGACCTTGATATTTTGATGGCTAGCTTTGATAGTGTGACACAGGCTGCTCTCACACAAACTTTTTTCTTTTGATTTTTCTCAATGAGTGTTTAAAAGTCTCCCAACTCTTTAATCCTTCGCAAAAATCAAACCATTCAAAAGGTTAGTAGCTTCTTGACTGCGAATAACCTTTATTTTTTCTAAGTTATTCCTATCTTCACATGATTTTAAATTTTTATGCATTGAACGCTTATGTGTAGCTTTAACAATCCTCAGATGCATAGCTTCAATAGTATAGTAAACGAAGCAATTTTTTTCTGCCCTTTAATTTTCCTTGTTGGGTGGACTAACCGGAATGCTCTAGATGGGTATTTTTGCTGTTCATGTTTCCCGAATATGTTTTCTCGATTTTGCTTCTTTCAGATGAAAAATCAGTCGCTGAATATAAGAACAGCATTCAGAACAAGAAAATGATAGATGTCTTTAACTTTAACAGTGCCTCTGATAAAGAACTACGCCATTTCAAGTACAAAACCGTCCTGTTCATATCTACATTCATATCTCGGCAAGAATTCGTACAGCAGGTCGGTGCCTCATATGTGAAATTACAGCCCAAACTATCCCTATCCTTCTTTCCTATCTTTGATTTCCTTTACTGTGGTTAAGCTCTAATATTCAAAGCACTCAGGAAATTTGGAACTTGTGAAAGTGTATGAGCCTTCTATTGATGGTTTATTCTATGTAAGAGCCCCTCTGCTCAATCAGCTGAGTAGGTAAGTTGTTTCAAGATAATTTTGTCTTGGACTAGATGGGAAAGAGATGGAGTAGTGTAACTTGGTACTTCTATTCCCAGCAAGAGTGGTGGAACCCTATTTCAGAATCATGCAACAACGGATTCACCCAAATCCATTTAGCGTGAGAGAATCGTTGTTCAGGATGGTTTTCTGAACGTTTCCTCAACTCCAAACTTTAAATGGACTGACAAAAAAGTTTGAATTGAATTGTTGAATCAAATTCATATCTTCCTCAAAATTGTATGTAAAAAAAAAATTTCTAAATCAAAAAATTGAAAATCATTTGTGCCATCCTCCATAATAGATTTGTGCAGGGCAAAGTTTGCAAGCAATTTTAAAACTTTTGCTGCGCTGCAATTCATACGAGTCCAGGGCTCAGGGAAGTTTCCAGGGAATCAGGAAACGCGAACAGAGCACAGTGCTGCTGGTGGAGAAAAGTGAGTGTTTGTGTTAATCAGAAGTTTCGGCCCCAAACTTTGCCTTGCACACTACTATTTTATAGGACGGCACATCATTCACCCCTTTATCGAAAACGTATTAACGAATTAATCTTTTTAGACGAATTGCAGCGAAGTAAAAGTTTAAATATTGCCCGTGAACTTCGCCTCACACACAACTATTTTATAGGGTGAAACACTTTTTATTTTGCATATTGATCTGAATCTGTACATTTGTGTTTTCCAGGTGTCATCTCTGAATGCCTCATCTTCCGAGGAGACGAAATTGGTCTTACAAACTTTCTTGCAGCATACTTTAAGTTATATCCAACTGATCCCAGATCAAATCCAACTGTATGCCAAAAACAAGTCGTTAAGCAAATATTGGTTAGCCATGCTCTCCCAGTGTCATGATGTTCTAGCTAAGGTCTGGTTCTCTTTCTTGATTTTTAAATTATAAGTCATTTTTACTATATGCCAGGAGTTGATTTAATCCTCAATCTTGCGATGATTTGAATATTATGAAAAGGAAAAACAAAAAAAAGAGCTGAAGGAACTGTTCTTTCCTATTCTGGGAACTTTTCTCTTCTATTTTATTTGTTCATTTTGATGCACAATAGATACAGAACAGTCGCCTGTGGTTGCTCTGTCCTACTCATGCATCACACATTTGTGATACAGGGTTTCGTTCATGAGCTTTGTGAATATGATGATGAGAAATAGTCAAACGGTAGCTTGTGTTCTTGAGTCCCTCTAATGTTTAAGTGAAGGAAGATTCGACTGCTATATCACAATACAGGGTGTTTCAGACCACCCGTACCAGGCCTTTTTCTCGGTTGGTTTAGGTCGTACGAAGTCGGAGATCGCGGGGTTGAATAGGGAATTGACCCCAAGGAATCCGAATTTCGTGGTCTCGAAACCCCCCCCACCTCCCCTTGGGGGATAAAGGGGGGGGTCACGATGCTAAAAGTCACGGTTCCCGACCGAATTGCGGATAGATCGCATCAGAATTGAAAAGCACGGAAAATTTCACGTGAAATCGACCCCTAAAAATCCAAAATCGGACCATCCAAGGCCCAAAAATGATCTCCTAAAGAGGGGGACAGTACCCCCCTCCATAATTTCTCTTTGGTCTCAAAATTGACGTAAATGCTCCAGAAAAAGACGGTTACCCAGGTAATCAACCCCGAAAAATCCAAATTTCATGGTCCCGAAGCTCCTCTAGCTCCCCTTGGGGGGTAAAATTTTAAAAATCGGGGCTCCTTTCCGAATCGCAAATTGATTGCATCCAAATTGAGGAGCAGAACACATTTACATCTTAAGTGACTCCTAAGAGTTCTAATAGACCCCCTGAACGGCAGAAAGTAATTCCCTGAGGGGGGGGCCTCGCCCCCGCCAAAAATTTCTCAGGATTCCTCTTTGGTCGCATAATTGACGTCGATTCTCCAGAAAAAGACGGTTTTCTATGTAATCGACCCCGAGGAGCTCACGGAAAATGAAATTTAGAGTCCTCGGGGTCGATTACATGGAAAACCGTCTTTTTCTGGAGAATCGACGTCAATTTTGCGACCAAAGTGGAATCCTGAGAAATTTTTGGCGGGGGCGAGGCCCCCCTCCTCAGGGAGTTACTTTCTGCCGTTCAGGGGGTCTATTAGAACTCTTAGGAGTCACTTAAGATGTAAATGTGTTCTGCTCCTCAATTTGGATGCAATCAATTTGCGATTCGGAAAGGAGCCCCGATTTTTAAAATTGGGCCCCCCCGTTTACCCCCCAAGGGGAGCTAGAGGAGCTTCGGGACCATGAAATTTGGATTTTTCGGGGTCGATTACCTGGGTTACCGTCTTTTTCTGGAGCATTTACGTCAATTTTGAGACCAAAGAGAAATTATGGAGGGGGGTACTGTCCCCCTCTTTAGGAGATCATTTTTGGGCCTTGGATGGTCCGATTTTGGATTTTTAGGGGTCGATTTCACGTGAAATTTTCCGTGCTTTTCAATTCTGATGCGATCCATCCGCAATTCGGTCGGGAACCGTGACTTTTAGCATCGTGACCCCCTCTTTATCTCCCAAGGGGGGCTGGGGGGGTTTCGGGACCACGAAATTCGGATTCCTTGGGGTCAATTCCCTATTCAACCCCGCGGTCTCCGACTTCGTACGACCTGAACCAACCGAGAAAAAGGCCTGGTACGGGTGGTCTGAAACACCCTGTACTTGGTCAGCTACCACGATTACTATGTGCAAAAGAAAAATGGAATTTCGAGTATTTTATATCGATTTTAAATATTTTGTTTCCATATTTCAATAGTTTTTGTCGAAGTTTAAAAAAAAAAAATAAAAAAAAAAAAAAAAAAAGGGGGCAAACTTTTTAGAGGAGAATCAATATCTACTCATTGTTTCGAAGAAGATGGCAATTTCTTGACAGCATATAAAAAAATTTCGAAATCACAAAATTGACTTTTTTAGTTTGATCACAGATCGAAGTCTCAGTTAGATAATAAATGTATCGGTATTCATGATTCTTCATTCCTTGACTAGATTTCCTGCAAATGGATTCTTTTTTATTTGAATATTTTCAAATTTTTGTTTCTTTTTGCAGATTACAACAATGCTCCCAAAGGACCTATTCTTGAATGTAATCGTGTCTCTCCTGAAACATGAAAAAATCGCTTTGAAGTGCAGAGCACTAGAATTACTCAATGCCAGTTTGCAGAAATACTCTAACCGCTTGGATGAGCATAATGTAGATAAATTAGAGGAAAAAGATCTACTGAAGCTACTTCCTAAACTGATGCCAATTTTGAAAGGAATTGAAAAGAAAGGGGATTCAGAGTCAAGTAAAGAAGACAGTGATCTGATTCTATGCCAACAAGAATGCTGCTTATCAATAAAACTACTTGCAAGGCAGTTAGCAGCAAATAATCCTAGTTCTTTTACCACGGTAAATTTTTTCCTCTTCCATCTTTTGAACCCTTTAATTTTCATCAATTTGTCTCCCTTGTGTTGATAACTATTATTTGAGCATGTGGAAGTATGGTATAATGTTGACACCTTCCTGCCAAATCATTTCAAGCGCCACTCTGCCAACTTTTCAGGAGACACCAAAAACTGATTTACGACCGCAAAAGACGGAATTTCGGCCTAAAACTTAAATTACTGATCCAGCACAACTTCCTGCCTTGAATTTTAATAAAATTTCTTTAAGAAACATTTTTTTCTCTGAAAATGGCGCTTGTGATACCATGTTTTTGGTGCATTCGGAGAACCTGTGGCGCTTGTCATACAGAAGCTCATCAAATTTAACGGAGTTTTTTCTATTTTTAATCCAAAGAAAATATCGTTTTTGTATGTAAATGCTTCCTATTAATTAATTCAAAACATCCATAACTCAATTTTGATGAAAATTGCGCTTATGATACTTCAGCCGGAAAGTGACAAATTGCTCCAGGTCATTTCAAGTGTTGTTGATACTGGAATTGTAAGAGCACTCCCTAAGATGAGCCCCAACTTGGTGCTTGTGATACCCAAGCTCATCAACTACAACAGAGTATTTTTCATTTTTATTCATTACTCTAAAAAAAATACTATATTCCAAGTAATGAGATGCATTTACATACAAAGATAATTTAGCTTCAAGTCATTCTGAGGGTTGCTGTAACAAAATTTGTAAACAATCAGAAAGGTGGGCAGTTGCTGAACTTGGTGCTTGTGATACTTCTCTCCCAAATGACGCTATGATACAAGAGCACATCAACTTTAATCATTTTTTCTAAATTTTTATTCTGAAAAAAAATTACCATTTTCGTATGTAATGCATCTCATTTTTTGCGAAACTATTCATAAGTTAATTTCGGTAAAATTGGCGCTTGTGATACTTTGGCCGGAAGATGACGATGCATGTGAGTATTTACTGTATGTTTAGCTCAATAATGGGCTGAAGCCTGAAAAACGTTGCATTCATGCGTGTATTTTACAAATTAAATCAATTTATTTTATCACTTTAATCTCAAAATCTTAACTACTTTCATTAAGAATGGACGTTCATGATCTTGTTTATTCAATCATGTTTCATCATAGTACATCATTCTGCTGTAAACAACCTACAGTAGGGTGTCTCACCCAAAACAATCAACCCTCAAGAAGTCGGGCTTTATAGGCAAGAAAGTGTTTCATTTCATTTAAAAATAATTTTGGCCAAGTTTCAAAATTGTAGGTGAAGTTCAAGTGCTGCCGCATTGCATATTTTTCAAATGTACTGTCCCGAAGATGAACGAATTTTGTCGATTTGATGATTTTTTTAAGGATTGAAGCAGTTAGGTTAGAGCCCTAAAAATTTAAGATTATAGTCTCTTAACAGACCACTTTTGATATAAATTAAAAATTTGAGCGTGCAGGACGCGGATATTTTTTTTAAAAATTCGGAAACTTGATCGAAAACGATGTTTGGGCGCCAAGATACATTTCGGCAAGAGCAAGCACACTTTTTTCCGACTTAGGAGGAAATGTGATCCTATAGATACTCTCGATCAGTGATACTATTGGAAACAAATTTAATTTTGAGGGTAATTCTAATGTAAAATTGTACATTTTTCACCTTTGTTCCTCGCATTTTTTTTCTACAATGTGCTTTTCTTGCAGATGAAAGCTATTTTTTTATCATAGGGACGGTTATTTAATTTAATTATTTGGTTAAAATTCATATCTCTGTATACTTTCACAAAAGTCATTTGTGGAGGTTCTAAAAATGGTCCGATCGGTCTGAAACCTTCCAGGAATTTTTTTTTGAAGTATCTGCACCTATTGAAAACCAGGGAGCTGACCTTTTCCAACATTTTTTTTAAGCATACAAACAAGTTGTACCCTAGTGTTAAGTGCGTGCTTGTTCTTGTTCTTTGTATGTCCATATCTTACCTTTGGTAGTCATTACATTTTCTGTTATTATGATTTTTTTTTCACCTCTTTCAGATTTTGGAGTTGGTTTGTAACTATATCTGTAACCAACAGATGGATGGTCTCGTCCTAGCAAACCTCATTCTTTGTTTTGCTGAGCTGATGTCCTGTCTCAGGAGCAAAGCCATCGTGTTCCTACCAAAATGTATCCCGATCTTGATTTCCCACTTGTCAAATGACTCAATAGTTAATGGGTTAGTTGGCCTCTAAAGTCTTTTCATCCTACATCTTTGTAAAATTGTTTCTTGTAGATTCTTCTGTTGCTATTTGCAAAAATTGAAAGCCAAGAATATCTTTTGATTCCTTTTTATAGAGTGATGAATCAATAATTTTATTTTAGTGCTTTATTTAAAAAAAAAAAAAAAAAAAAAAATTAAATAATCGGCAACGCTCTTACAATTACTCAAGGTTCTTGTAATGGATGCTTTGCACCTCTTTAATTATTCCTTGGCACACGTAAATTGCAGATTCTTACACAACAATGTATTAATTTATGAATCAGCAACACTGCCTCCATCAAACATGCTATCAAAGAAGATCATCTTACATGTTTTTTGACTTTTGCTCCTACAGTAACATTAAATACCAGGTGGAAAAATTAGAAGTGAAGTTTAAGCTTAGGATTCCATTGGAACCTCGTGTAGAATCAGAAGTAAACAAAAACTGTGGACAAATTCTCTTAATATCTCCATGATTGCTAATGATATCTTTTGGTCATTGCAATCTTGGCCTAGATTTTCCTATAGTCAGTAAATTGTCAAGTATACAATGAATTGTGAAGAAACGGTGGCTACACTGGTATCAGGGTTTCTGGCCGTTTAGAAAATCTGGAAAGTCAGAAAATTTACGGCAACCTCGGAAAGTCTGAGAATGTTGCAGGTAGCAAGATGACTTAGCATTCAGCAATTCCAGTCGGTGCCATCTAAAAGAATTTGGGCAACTTTCGAGAGCCTTTTTTCTTGATTTGAATCTCCAGAAGTTAAAATTTTGCCTGAAAGTAATTAAAAGAAAGTAGAGATTTTGATCGAAGGTCAGGAGATTCAGAAATCCTCGAGTCAGGAAATCGGGAAATGAAGAAATTAACGGAACCTTGTTTCCTCGTTGAACATTTTTTGAGCTAATTTTTGTGTAACAAGAGAAAATTAGTCTAATAAAATGGAACGTTTGACTCAGATTCAGACGTAATTGCAGACTACTTTAATTTTGAACCTGGAATCATCCGTATAAAGTATTCAGTGCTCATCATCGGAATACACAGGTTTTCTTATGTTTTTTGGTCATCAAGTATTAATAACCACAATGTAGTGCCCATTTAAACGAACATTGTAATTTTTTTGTGAAAAGTGATTCTCTGCAAACCCCTTTCATAACTTTGCTAGCAGTCTTCTACACTCCAGGTTACTAAATGGTTTCAATATGTTGTATTTTGTGCCAATCAATTACAGAGATTATGTCTGTGAGTGTATGTATATAGTTGAGTACCACCTTAAATTTTAAAAATTCATTAATACCTAAGAATTACTCAATTGTCCTTTGCTAGAAATGTGCACACCTCAAAATTAGTTGGACAGAGTTCAAAATATGATTTTCGACAGTCTGGGTGAAAATTATCTGCTTGAGGAGCTGTAATGGTCATCACCTCTTTTCAGAACGTCCCAAAACCCATTCATGGCAAACATTTGCGTTTTCAGACACCTAAAATGCCTTAAATTCTGTCCGAAAATTTTGTAGTCGTTCCTAACAGAAAAATGCCACTAGAACCCACGAATATGATATTGAGAGGCTAGGCTGTCTATGATTCAACCATGAAAAGAGTTCAGTGCCTCCTCTTATTGCTCTGTTCTTCATAGGATTCTTTCCTCCTTTTTTTACATTTAATCTTTTATGTGATCCCTCGTTTTAGAGAAGAAATATTTTTGACAAGTATTGTATCAGCAACAAATAAGATCATGGAGGCAGTGCTGCACTTCCTGAGCTTAGACAATGTCTCCTCTATTCTTACTAGAATCTGTGTCATTTCCCACCACTGCAAGCAGCAACTGGATCCAACCAAAACTTCTGTTTTAGCCACAAAATTGAAAGCCATCAGGTAAGTTCCTTCCGTTTAATATTATTGATGTTATTTTGTAGGTATCTCTTATTTATTAGTTTCTTTCAATTATTTAGTAGTCATATATAAAGGATCTAAACATCAGCCGGAGGTTTGTAAAAGAAATTTTCTGGAATAACTTCCTGAAACAGTGAAAGATTTATTTGAGACCTTAATTGCAAACATCTTGACCTCGGATGGGAACTGATAATACAATCAACCTTTTTTCCTAGTCTTACAGCTTCCTGCAAAGGACTAAGACTTAAAGCATTAAGGAGGAACGAGAAGCAATGGTATGGGTGACCCCTGAAGGTGAGTTTTGGATGCTGACAATTTACTCATCCAACATAGTCTTGATGAAAAACTTAAATGACAGCCAAATACTTAATTAGAAGACTGCGTAATCGTATGAGTGGAGCTATCTCAAACTGAAACAACTATTGGAATACAGATTAAAATATACCTTAATTCCTTTCCATGCTTGAGTAACTTTTGAAACAGTGTAAAGGGTTGAATGTGGTTCTTTAGGGTTAATAATACCACTGTACATAGTTTTCTAACAAAATTAATATGCCTCCAATTACGGAAGAGCAGCTCTAACCTTGATAAGACAGTATCAAATGCAATATTTTTGGTGGCTAAATGCTAACGGAATTAAAGAAACTGGTCAAAAAAAAGAAGGTTGATAAGTCCCCAGAACAAGCAAAGTTTCCTATACTTGAGTATAATGGTAAGAAGAATTTGACTCACAAAGAGCCAGTTGCTTCAAACTTGAAAGCAAATGTCAGTTTTGCGGATACAGTAAGTAGAAAATCTGACAGTAACAAACTAAATAGCCTGAATAAAACTCCTATCACTCAGCTCCTAGCAACAATAGAATCTCAAAGAAAGATGATTGAAATGCTAACAGAGAAGGTGGATAGGCTTGAGTCACTCTTCAAGGGAAATGCTACAAACAAATCAGATGAATTCTTATCAATCGATGCGTTGTATTTTGGTCTGACTAATGTAAAATATGTACAGTTTGGGGTTACCTTAGGGGAGCTACATACAGACATTGCTTTGATCTCTGAGACTCATTCTCTAAGGATTGATTAGATATTCATTCAAGGCTTTAAAGTTTACAGAGCTTGCCACCTAGCAAACACACCCCGACGTGGAGCCGCTGTAATTATCAGAAAAACATTTGTACCCTTTAATATAATAAATTAAAAATTTAGGCCTTCATGCGGTACGAGGGAGTCAATTTTATGCGGCGAAATTTTGGGTACTTGATATGGGGCCCTTTTGACAACTTTTTTTCGAAGATACGCGTTTTCCCTCTCAAATTCAAAAATTTCGATCCACTCTACCAAGGGGTTTCAGAAAACTTGAGGTTTTAAAAACAGTTTAAAGACCCTTTATCGTTAGGAATGCACTTCCTTTATTTGACCTTGGACTCTCCTCCCCCAAGCGGTTTAATTTTTCCGAAAATTTGGTTGCTTTAAAGGATATTTTAAATGCTTCAAATTAGCTCAGATCACCAATAACTTATTATTTTCTTGGATAGATCTGATCGCTACCTGCTTCGGTTCGATTTCATGGCATGACGGAAATGAATCGTACGATAGAGGGGTCTACAATGGTTTTTTTTTTTTTCAATAAAAACCAAGAAGCAAAATGATGGAGTTGCCATTTATGTTAAAAATAAGTTGGAATATACAGTAGAAAAATTAAGCCTGACAGAAGAGATAGGCAATGAAATTAATTTTAAAAAAAACACTTACATTGTCTTGAACAGTAGAATTAGAGACTCAGAAGACTTGCGGCAAATGTTAAATGCAAAAAAAATTCTCTCTCTTAATTGGAGTTATAAACACGGGTATCATTGTAGTGGGTCCGATATTGAACATGTATAAAAGTCTAGTATAAAAATCAAAAAAGAAGAAAAATTATCCATCAACAATTTGTTACAGTTTTCCAAACCGACATTCCAGCTACTGCGGCATTAGTGCTGATTCCATTTTTGATTAAAGTTACTTCAAATTTTAATCTCGTTTTTCAATTTTTTTCTTTTCTTTTTCAGGCAAAAATTATCCAATGATGTACAAGAAAGAGTCCTATATCCTGCTGTAAACATCTGTTACAACCGACTATGTGAGCAAGAGCATTTTGGTGCCATCGAAATCTTGATGTCCATCCTGAGTGACAGTTTCCAAAGAAATGTGCTCTCAACCGATGAACTGAATCTATATTTCATGAATATGTTTGAATTTAGGAGTCAATACCAAACCAAGCTCAGTGAAGAAACAATTTTGACCATAGAAAATGCTATCATCAATTCTTTTGTTGCCTTGGTTCTAAAGTATTCTGAGCCTGTCTTCCGAACCCTTTTCTATAAAATTTTGGACTGGGGTCTCAATATCAAAACAAATAAGCTGAATGTCATAATATTCTACAAGTAAGTAAATTACTTTCTTCAGAAGTGAAGAGAAGTTCTCTGAATCTCATTTTTCAGGGTGACAAACGAGCTAGCAAGTCCACCCACAACATGCATACCATAATCGGATAGCATTTAGCAAAAAGGAACCAGCAAGATTCCAGTGTTGTAAAAATATTGCTTCTTCATAATTATATAAAAAATTTTCAGAACTAGCTAATAGTTTTTGTGCCTCACCAAAAAATTGTTTAACATGAAGGAAAATAATTGTGTAAATTTTAATACTGTACTTCAATTTTTAAAAGAAAAGAAGAAGTTCCACCATTTTGATAACACTGTAATCATGCTGGTTCCTTTTTGCTAAATGCGATCCAATTATCCTGCATGTGAATCAGTTTATTTTCCTTATGCCATCAAACTCATTAATTCAGGCCATATACTACAAATGTTCAGTGTGCACTATTGTCTGGTGCGTCTTACTCTGAGTTACTGTTTTGGCTACATGAACAATGAATGTGGCTGTTGTAGAAGTTTGGCTGAGTTTGGCGTTTTTATTTTGAAAGAATCCCAAGTCTTGCCTTGTAAAATTGAACTTAAATATTTGATCAGCACAATGAAATTCAACAAGAACTTTCAAAATGAACGCCGGAAATGCAGACCCCATCAACAAAAACGAAAAAAGTAGCACGATACGGGTCAAGCTAAAAATTCTGAAACTTTTCAAAAGACCGTAAGCACGGTTTACTGACTGAAAACAAAATTTTGCATAGCAAACAAGGTAAGAGGACACAATCATTGCATATCATATAAATTCCAGGCATGTATAGACAGTGACAGGGTAAAGAGTTTGAGATTCTCGACGGCACAGCAAGCGGCGCGGCAGCGCGGTCTATATAGAGCCGTACTCATGCGAACAGTGAGGAAGCGCGCTATGACGCCCACACGCCGCGGCTATTTTGGGGGTCTAGGAGTGCTTGGAGAAGAAAAAGCATAAGAGACTCTTTTTGTGCAGAATTTAATGAGGAACATTTTCCCAATCACTTGCAACTTGCCATCTCCAAGATACAGCTGAAAAACCGATTTTTCTTAGCCTTTTTTTGGGAGGGGGGGGGGGCAAGCACAAGTTTTATCAATGGGTACTTTTAGCCTGTGCCTCTTTTGACCCTTACAAGTAACTTTAGCCGAAAATCGCTTGTATGGGAATTTTTTCCCCTAATCTGGAATACTTGATCTACTTTGACTGGCTTAAAATGCTCACTGGTGTAAGAGCACTACTTCAAGACTGATTGGACATTGCAATCTTTATAGGTGGAAGACGCGTAGCCCAAAACTTTTGAACGGTTGAAATTATCAAAATGCAGCTTGTTGGAGTTGATAGAATATGAAAAATCAACAATTCCAAGGGTCATTTTTATCTTTTGTTGCCAAATTTGACCAAAAACTCTCATTTTTTAAATTTTTCTTAGAGTAAAAAGATGGGTGAACTCAAGCCAACGATATGTGTAATAATCTCCCACTTTTTCTCCAATATTCTTTCATATCCTGTTCTTTCTGTTTCATTTTTTACAGAATAACACATGCACTATCGCAGCGATTACAGGCACTCTTCACATCACTGGCCAATAGCTTATTCAAACCCAGTGTCAAGTACCTGAACGAAACAAATATAACTAAAGCCGACCCTGAAAATGGGAAGGACACGTCCAATTTGTTTTTCGAATCTGATGTCGAAAAGTCAGTTCTTCTGTTGGAACAAGTTTTGAAAACTTTGTTGAGCGTGTTCACTTTTGATTTGTATCGCTTTGCCAGCAAAGAAAGATTCGAGCGTTTTGAGATTTTAGTTCAGCCTCTAGTTGATCAGGTAAATATATTTTTAATTATTTATTGGTTTTGGTTAAAGACTCATTGATCATATTAACCTCTGAATGTAAGCAGTCTCATGACTTGATATATTTATACTGAAGAGTCTAATCTGAAAAGCGGGTTTTAATTAATTTTCACTAGTAAACATAAGTTATTTTCCTTGTTGCAATGTTTCTTGAGAAACGTGAACCTTGAAAAGTGTGCCTGACACATTGCTTGATTACATTTTTTTAAGATGGATGCTCTGGCAACGCTGGTAGTGATGTCAAATCGAGGATTCAACATTTTGTTCACTTTACATTAAGCTCTCATCCAAGAAAATTTTCTCATTCAAGTTCTTATGCTCTGACGAGAAAGTAAATAATCTAATTTATCAATTTAATTGCATTCTGTAAGAACTAATACTTCAGGCTCATTTTAGAAACAATGCTTGCATGTCTCTTGCATGAAGGAACGTCAGGGTGTTCCATTTTGTACAGGAAAAAAAAATTGCGAAATCCGACGGAGATACTTGCTGAAAAGTTTCCCTCTGGTCAGAAAAGAATCACAATAAAATCTCAGAGTCGTAGCTAAAGGTTAAGTGGTCCTGCAGGACACCTAAGTGGTTTTTACCGATTTCCTAATTTAACAATCTTGGCTATCTCGCAGATTTTATTTCGGAAAATGCAATCGAGCTAGAAAGTCGGAAATGTAGGTATTGAGACTTATGATCCTAAACTTCAAGAGAAAAATATCAATTTGGACTCCCAAGGCTCACAAACCCTTCGTTTTTTGGCTCTCAAAATGCTAACAGTGAATGCTAACCACGTATCTCGTTTGCTGTGTTTAAAAATCTACGCTCGCATTTTATTTTTTTGAAGTAGACCTAATCAATATCATTCCTTGAAATTTTCACAGAATTTTCTCCGCACGAAGAGGAAAAATCACAAAAATTTTCAAGACTGAACATTAAGTAGTTTTTCATTTAAAAAATAAAGTATGACAGGAAGTCGGCGACGCCGCAAACCGAGATACGTGGTTTGGTAGTTTCACCGTCGATATTCATGTATATTATCTCCAGAGAAGGGGGGGGGGGTTCAAACCTGCTTCATGGTTGCACAACTGAGAGGAAGGGGTCTCTGAACCCAATTTAACAACAAGCCAGACATAATCTAGGGTTGACCACATAGTAAATAAGCATTTGGTGGAGCTTAGCTGCGAAAGGTAGCAGTGGCAGAAGTATAGAGAGGATCCTGGTTTTCCGTTGCATAAGAGAGGGGATTGGGAGAGGGGCCTCTTCTCAGTTGTTTGGATGCCTGCATTGCAAAACCGCATGCCTTGAAAATCAATTCTCATCTAGTTCCCTCCATGGTGGTGGGCAAAAAATGAGTGAATGGAGATGTTGCATGTGTGAGGAATTTGCAATTTGACTGTTGTTTCTTAAATGAAAGTTCTCGAGAAACACGATGGTGCTACTGGTTTTCTCTGAAATAAACTCCGAAGCTCAAAAAAAGCTCTCAAGTTGAGGCCAAAATGGAGGCGATATCCCACCCTACCCTGAGAGTCCACGTCTACGTTAAGACAAACTCTCCATGCAAAGATAGGGAGCAAATACATTATCAGGGTTGCCGTGTTTTCAGTTTTGGAGTCCCCAAATAAAGTGGCAGCCCTGTCAATGTATTTGCTCTCTATCTTTGCATGGAGAGTTTGTCTTGATGTAGATGTGCGCGCAGGCACGTGATTTCAAGCGCGCAGGACGGAGAGCAGCTCCGGGTTGTAAAGCCGGAGATGGAAGCTCATCCGAGCGCTTGAGCTGGCTGGACCAGGCGATGGTCGCCTAATGGGCAGGCAATCCGCGACAGTGGGCGCGGCGTCTCCAGGTTGTGCGCTTGAAGCGCGGTAAAGACCCCTAAGGGATACCCCCAGGGCTTGCCTGAGCGAATCGCTCCGGCGGATACCGCTACGACGCGATTGCGGGTTGCTCCGTGCAGTGCTAAAAGCTGCCAAGCACGGGAGCCACTGTGCAGGCAACAGCGATGCGGCTTGACTGCGAAGCAGCAGGATGCAACCGGGAGCCTTGCGCTGTGTAGCTGAACAGCTAAGCGCCTTTCAGGACTTGGTCCAAAGTGCGGATATCGCGTCTGGTGGGATGGTGATGACCGGTTGTTAATTCGTGAAGACCTGGAAATAACTATATAGGTGAAAAGTCCGCTTAACGGATACCGTTATGCGGGATACACTTTGCGGGCTCAATCTGCGGTAGAAGGTGTTTACGGTGATTCACACTTTTCATGGGCCGCGCCGCTGGGATGCCTAAATGAGATGACGGGAAAGAGCGGCGGAACGTCTGAAGCTAGGTGCGTCAATGCGATCTAGCGGACAGCCGCGTCGCGAGGTAGGGCGCGCGGGTCGCGGGGGAGCACGGCCGCGAGAAGAGGAGCGCGGCGGGGAGGGGAAGCGCGGGTCGCGGGGAAGAGTGCGACCGCGGCGCGTTGCCGGCCGGCGCACTATGGTCCTAATAGCCCGATTTAAGCGACATTAAATCAGATGTGTATGTTTAAACCTCTCAACATGAGTTTTTAGGGGTTTTTTGGGTCGCTGACAATGAGTGCGAATATGCAAATATTTTTCCGGAAAAAATCCATTTTTAACATTTTTATACCTTTACATAACTGTGGTAATATTTTGTACAGAAACATCAAATTAAGGCACATACACCATGCCAACGCGGTAGTGTAGTGGACATCGCGTCTCACCCATCTTTTGAAGGTCGCGGGTTCGATTCTCGGGAGAATTTTTTTTCTTTTTTTTAAGCTTAAAAATTAAATTTTGCTTTGGATGGACTATAAGGAGCTAATAGTAGAACTTCGTCAAACACTATTGTCAAGGGAACTTGAAAAAGGCAGCTCAGGATAATACTTCAACGTTTCATGGCTCCAGAGGCTTACTTTTAAGTCCCACCGATCGGCCGTTTGAACTCGTTTTCGTCTGCCAAGTTAAACTTAAGCTTAAACATATCCATTTTGATAGACTATGTGTTTGAAACATGGTAAAACGTCAAAAAAAACTTTTACAGGGCCTCAAAGTAGCCTCCCAAGGCGATTCTTTGCTGTTCCTGAGCTCAGGTTTCAATTCCTCCCGATCAGCTCCATCAACTCGTATTATTCTGCCTGGACAGATTTAGGCTCTAATGCATTTGATTTCATAGAATATGAGAATGGAACATGATAAAAGTCATGGTCATTGGCATATGATAGATGATTGTAGTAAGTGCTAAGAAACGCGAAAACGTCATTTTCCACGAGAAATAACTTGAGGCGATGGTGGATGATTGATCTGCCACTCAGACTAAAAGGTAGTCTAGAGTCATGAAAATAACCTCCGAGTAAAATAATTATGAGGTGCTCAGAGGTGCAAATTATGTTTTTTGGATCATACTTTTGCGATTTTATTGAAAAACTGACTATGTCTTAGGGTTAATCTAGAGCATTAGTTATGATTAAAAAAAAAATAGTTTCAGCATAAAACATCTTAAATTTACCTTATATTTTGTGAATCAAGTGCCCAAACACTTTCAGGTGCGGTGAAACAACGAAAACAAGCCCGTAAACACAGCACTGCCGCTCGGTAACTGGAATCGAACTCGAAAGTGATCCGCGCGCCGCACTTCCCAAGCTTGTCACATCTTAATTAATGCTTCAATCGAGGTGATATTTTACAGGAGTCTTCTCTACAGTATGTGCTATCCATCTACGTCTTAAAATCGAACTTTTTCCAAACTTCATTATTTCGATTTATTGCCGCTTAAATCGGGCTTTTGGGACCATAGTGCGGTGGTGACATTGGCGCTGGCTGGACCCATGTTCACGGCGTGAACAGTAGACGTGGACTCTCAGGGTAGGGTGGGATATCCCCTCCATTTTGGCCTCAACTTGAGAGCTTTTTTTGAGCTTGGGAGTTGATCTCAGAGAAAACAAATGGCACCATCGTGTTTCTCGCGAACTTTTACATAAGAATCAACAATCCAATCGCAAATTCCTCACACATGCAACATCTCCCTTGCAAGCTTCGGGTTTTATCAAATGTAAAAGCCCTGTGTTCTGTTTATAATATGTCTCTTTAATTCTTGCATTCTGGCCCATTGTTCAAGCTCAAATAAATGGAGATCTATTTTCTCTTTTCAGTTGGAAAACTGCATTGGTAACTGGCAGGATCGTTGTGAAAATCTGCTGATTCCTTGTATCGCTCAAATGGCCGTGTCAGCTGGAGATGACAATCTCTGGAAGCCGCTCAATTATCAAATTTTACTTAAAACTCAGCATACTAATCCTGAGGTATGCAGCCAGTATTTTCTGCCTAACTACCTCAATATTTCAAAAGTCAGTGTGAAGTCGAAAAAAACAATTTCTCGCTAAGGCATTATTATTTCAGTCTCATTTTGACTTTCTTTTCTTCCAGCACTAATCAAATAATTCAGCAGATTTAACTCATTTTTTTTTTCTCAAGAAAAAGCATCTCACTAATGCCTCTTCAACTTTCCATGTATTCGATACCACTACTTTGAAGATTTTTGCCTAGGAGTATGAAAATTGATGTTTCCCACTACACATTGAAACGAGAGAAGCTGACGAACGGCTTAAGGCCTCAAAAAGGGGAAGGTTCTGGTGAGGTGAGGTAGCGGAAATGAAAAGCCCCGCTTGCGGAGAACTAAAAGAGAATTTATTCACTCAACATGGCGGGTGACATACACTACAAACAAGGAAACAGATCCTCGAGATCTGGATGAAAACTGGAAAAGAGAAAACTGCATTGGCGAAAGAACAAAAAAGATGGGAAAATCGGGCGGAACCAAGATCGTCGATCGGCCGAGAGCGAAGCGAAGCACTGACTGAAGAAGATGGCTCAGCTGGTCAGCGAACTTGGTTCAAGGAGAGGGTGATGTCACTGTCACTCACAACTCGTAAGATGGGAGTGGGGGGAACGGAAACCGTCTCATCATGTGGTATTATAGGTGGCAGTAGGCATCAACCGGAAAAAAAAAAAAAAAAAAAAAAAAAAAGCTACAGATAAGAGAGATGCTGTAACCTAACGAGATATATACATGCACCAAACAGTTCAATAGGGCTTGATCGCATAGTTGGTGGTCCTCTTTGTCCCTAGTCAAGTGCAGTCCCAAAATGCAGAGTAAAACCTGAACATCCTATCAAAATTGGGAAAAATATGCTCATTTCTGTTTTTGCCCACCTTTTTCGCAATTGCCTGTGTCACACTATCAAAGCTAGCCATCAAAATATCATGGTTAGGTGTTGTGATTGGCTAATTCGATGACTTGGACCAATCACAGCACTTGACCTTGACATTTTGATGGAGTATTTTGATAGTGTGACACAGGCAAAAGAGTTGAATATTAAAAAGGAATGTAAGCTGATCTGACATATTCGGACCTTATTAAACTGTTTTGTTCGAATTGTTAAGCAAATTTAAAGCCCATGAAAGGCTCGGCCACAAGAAAGGTGATGATTTTTTTCAAAATGACCTTCTGCTACAATCATAGGAAAAACTCCTTTTAAAGTGTTCATATCAAAACCAGCCTTCGAATTGAAGAAATAACTGTTTGAAAAATCGAAATCAATGCAGTGGAAGGGAGAACGGTAAATAAGTGAGCCGTTTTTTTACCGATTTTAAAGTTGATCAGTTGTCACAGCTTTGGAAACTACTATAACACAAAACATACAAAATCAGGAGAGATTTTTAGTCTGTGGACTTCTACGATTGCATTTTTGTAAACTCTCTAGACTTACATAAGCGTCGAAAGGTGAATTGATTATATCTGCTTTTATTTACATCGAGATATAAAGTGCAAACAAAAAATGCAGCCTTAAATGTAAGTAAAAATATTGTGGTACGATTTTATCTCTAGCCACCATGATCAGGATCCTGCAGTTATTACACAGAAATTTGTAGGTACTGCATTCTTATGGCCAGTCAAAATACAGTATGTGGACAGCCATCAGATCATTCAAAAATTGCTTTGTACCACATCTCTTGTACAATTTGGCAACTCCCCCGGTATATATTTTAAAAGGAAAAGTTGAATTCGGATTTGCCATAAATTAATATGCACATTAGAGCATTCATTATGAATTCTTCAATAGGAGCTCCTTAAATATCGCAACCTCTAATTTTTCTTGTCTGGTTACAATGGTGGCTACATCCTGAAATAAAAATTTTTTGATTGAAGTTTGCCACTTATATACTGGCAGAGCTTCTCTTTCAAATTTGCGCTTTATCCAAACCAATTCTTGGGAAACTTCTAGTCACAAGTCGAGCTTATTTTCTTTTTGAAATGAGAGGAGAATTCTCTATAAATCCATATTTTATTATGAGCATTGTTCCAAACAAGTAAAAAACCCGTGGGAGCAAGTTGAATAATATTTGTTAGTGCAGGAGTAGGCGTCTAAAAGATTGTGGCACTAGAAGTGTTGGATCATGCTATCAGCGCATAGTGTCTCTCCTACCCTTTTCACCCCAATCACCGTGCAAATCACCCACACACTGTGAGGGTCTGCATTTTGGCTGCATGCAATTGTCTAATCAATGTGCATAGTGCAGATAACCAACAATATTTTACCCTAATAATATGGATCTGGTGTGTATGTTTTTGAGGGGATTTTAATTTTCGTAAGATTATCTAATCCTATTCCATGTTATGTATGATTTCAGGTGCGCAAAGTAGCATTGAAAACAGTTTGTGCAGTTGCAATAAAATTAGGAGACGACTTTGCACCATTGTTACCAGAAACCGTCCAATTTCTGGCTGAGTTACTCGAAGATGACGATGAAAGCGTTGAAATGTGTTGCAGGAAAGCCATTCAGAACCTAGAGAAAAGTCTGGGTGAATCAATATCAGAACTGTTTTAAGTATGTCCTCCTCCAGCCTTGTTTTTATATTAGTTTACTAGTATTACTACACTACTTGCACCAACAGTTAACTACCCACGATTCGTAGGATCAGTTTTTGATACCATAAATGTATATCACGTATCTACATTAGTTGGGTCCTGACCAAAAGAACTTGAAATTAAAGATTGGTTTTCCTTGTGGTTTAATGTGTGATAGCTAGGGGCAATTTTTTGAATTCAGATGAAGGTTTGATCACTTTTTATGGTAAACAAATTGATAGGCTCAAAAACTTGTTGCAGAATGCTACTTGCAAATAAAACTGTATTTTGACTTGTTTGGGATGTCAATAAAATAAAGTAAAACTGATTTAGAAACATAACGGTGGCCAGCCATTTTATTGATAAGGAGGTGAGGTTACCACGCACATAGGTCGCGCAGCTGACCGTACAACCTGTCTTTTTGACCAACTATTTGAGGCGATTGGATTGATACCAACAAAACTCTACACAAAATAGAGGGAAAATGTCTGATTTCATCGAGGAATTCTTTCAACAAGTCGACAACTGCTGCAAAATGAACTCAATCCAATTCTTAACTATTAAGTTAAAATGGATATCTTGGCGGACCTACTGTAAAATATCCTCCATGCTTAAGCCGAAATTCGCCAGAAATGATGCCCCGGTTCTTACCAGCTCTGCAAAGAAAAAAGAGGGGGGCAGCGGGGGTTTTATGGATGTTTCCGTCCGTAAAGTGGGCGGCAATTCCTGTGTTGCAGTTCTCCGACTGGGCGCAGCGTTTCAAGGGTCCGCGTTAAGTTCTACAGTGGTTTCGGGCATCATTTGTGACGATTTTCCCGGTTTTTACCCGCTCCGCAACCAAAAATGAGGGGGGCAGCGGGGTTTTTTTGGATGTTTTTGTACTTTAAGGGGGTGGCAGTCCTTGTATTTCAATTCTCCGACTGATCGCAACGTTTCAAGAGTCCTCCTCAAGTTGGACATTAGTTTCGGGCATTATTTGGAGTGAATTTCCCGGTTTTTACCCGCTCTGCAACCAAAAATGAGGGGGGGCAGGGGGCTGAGAGTTTTGAAAACTCACTTTAAAGTCGCAGGCTGCCTTTGCGTTAACATTGGCAAGAAGTTCCACTCGGATTTGATGCTAAGTTTGAAGCTCTTCCGTGACTTTTCGCATTTTAATGCAATGTTTCATTGTATCAGGCCCCCCCCCCCCCCTACGGGAGGGCTGCGGTGGCCCGGGGGCAATATGAAGACTTCGATATCAGACTTGGAGTATTCGAGGACTCTTTGAAAAGAGAAACGGTATGTCCAAGAGCCGCCGAAGCTAATCTAAAAAATGAAGGTACGGACCCCCTAAATAACCTTTGGACCCCCCTAACTTTTGACAGGGGGGTCAGATCGACTTCCGGTTTGCGCCAAAAATTTTCTTTTTTCATGCTCTTTCTAACGATGTATCACATTATGGGGGTTGCCATTTGAAATTTTTGAGTTGCCCCCCGCCCCCTGGGGGGGGGGTGAAGAACTGGAAAGTACCTCAAAAAGTTTCCCCCTCGATATGAGGAAGGACGCCACAAACCGCAAATCGATATCATAATTAGAACTAAAGTTATGGCCAGTGGTGCGTAACTTTTGAATAACCCTGTATGAGGGGGGACCCAAAAAAAGCTAACCTCGTAACTTGGCAACGGCAACATTTTCGGGGTTCTACCGCTAGGAAGTTAGGAGCCATGAAGAGTCACTAGGTCACATTTTATTTCGTTTTGGAAAGCCCTTGCATGAGGGGTGTTCAGTGAGCTCGTCGTTTTTTAAGATAGGTGATAACTCTCTTAAGCCTTTGATCAAATCTTGCATGGAACATGCTTCACCAATAAATTTAGTGGGCAAATGTCTTTTTTTCGTTTTAAAGTGTGATTTATTGTTCAGACATCGACCGGGCTCCAAGCGGCCTTCAACGTCTACAATGATAAATAGGGGATCAATTCAGCAACAACGCGTCTTAGGCCCAATTTTCTCACAGCTATGTTTTGAATATTTCTGTATGACAACCCAGTGATGTCTGCTAGTTAGCTAACTGGTCTCCACCGATTCTTACTCGCCAAAACGGGATTTTTTTTAATATTTTTGCTTCTAGTCGTTGACGGCGGCTTTCAGCGAGTAGGACATTCCAGGCGATACGGCACCACTTTTAAAACGGGAAAACCACACTTACACATAAGTTTTTGATGAAACTTGTCCTTCATAGGCAGAACTTCAAAAGATTGACAGGGAAAATCGTGATTTTACCGAGTAAGAAAGAAAAATTGGAGCGCCAAGTGTTGCTAGTGAAATTGACCCATCTTCAAAAACGACGAACCCACCAGACAATCTCTGAAGCTGAGTCTCGCCAAAATGAAAGAAAACTTTCCACGACGTTGCGATTTGGCCCAAAAGCTCTTCATAGTTCCTACTTACACCTCCTGGCGTTAGAACCCGGAAATTTTCCACCATTGCCAAGTTACAGCAAAATTCCGGTTTTTTGGGTACTTCCTCGTCAGTTGCACTGACTATCTGATCCACACGACTGAAAATCGTGAAACGGGTTGTTAGAAGAATTATTTCACCACATAGTAAAAAGCCCGAATTTTGACTGCTGCAGATGATACTCGGGGAGTGGGTTATCTGTAGCTCCTTATACCCACATTATTCCAATAGTTTTGCATTCTTTTGGTTACAGAGTGAAGTTGCTGGCTGATCACTTTCAAGGTCATTCAGCATTTTGACAAACCTTCTGTCCTCTTGTGAACAAATATTTGTCTTCTCTGGATACATTTAATAACTTCTCGTCTAGATCTCTCATTGTTCAACAAGGATTGGGATTCTCTCTCAATGTTTCCAAGCGTCACCCTTTTAAACCATTGTATTTTCAGTATATAAAATTTGTTTAGTGTTGCACATTGCGGCACAAGCGCATATGAATCAGTGAGTTCAAAAACATACCAACTTGGAAAAAGTAAATTTTTTAAGAAACACAAAAAACTGCACAGTGGGTGAGAAAGTCGGTTAATAAAAAAGCTTCTTGGTGCCAAAGGAAAAGCACTTGGAGACATGGTTAAAGACCAAGTTGAAATGAATGAGTCATTTTTAATGACAGAGTTTTAGGCCTTAGCAAGTTGCTGAGTTGGTTTGTTTTTGTTCTCACTGACTTCCACATACTCATCTTTTTTGGTTTGCCCTAAAAAATGTATATTTTTCTACATGTTACCCTTAAATATTTTTATAACTTATCAGTATAAGATATGTTGAACCGGAAAAAGGAAACCACAAAATTAGATCTATGGCCACCCGTTTTTCTTGAGAGGCCCAATATCGGTATTTTCAATAAAATACTAAATATTCTCTCTTTTTGATACTTTTTTCTGACAAATATTGTAGTTGATGACACTAAGTACCATGGAACTAAGTTTTGCAAGCTACTGACCCTGGAAAAATCCACTGCTCCCTACTCCTCCCCCCACCCTGAAATGAAATAGAAAGGCTCAATAATAGAGCGTGTTGTCTTTCTCACCACCCTTTTCCAGCCGCCGTTTCGAGCACCTCGATCACTGTTTCGAAATTTCCTTCGCCTGCAGATGCGTCCACCCATAAGTGTCATTAAACCGTAATAACGTGAAAAACGGCAAAAAACTCGAGTCGGTGTGTCTTCGAACTCACTGATTCATTTATATTACATGGACGTCTTCTGTCCTGTTTGTTCCTATCTGTCCCCTTTTAGTAAGACTTAATCCAGTTTAGTTGTTTATCAGCACCTGCAGTTCATTTAAGATTACCAATCTGATAAAAAGGATGATGAGATCCAACGAACTATGAGTGTATCTAATCCATTCCATCATTACCGTCATGGTAGCCTCGTTGTGCTTCCTCGTTGAGAATAGTGACAACCGTGTAAAATAGCAAATTTTTGTTCGTCAACTGTCTACAAAATCCGTAAACAGTATTTGAAATACATCATCAAAACGAATTTTCGTTCTCCGGTTGTGATTAAATGGGTGGCCTGACCTTTCTCAGCAAATCATCTGTAATTAAATGTAATTTAATTGTCATTGACAGTTTACGATTTCGTAAACGTGCTCTGGACCACGTTATTGAACCTGTTGACGACTTTACTTGAGAGAGTGAAACCCATCAACAATCCTGTAAACAGGCCACCAGGCTCTGATTGGTCAATGAAAATACCAACTCCGTTAACGTGCAGGATAACTGTCTGAGCAAAAATTTGCTCAAAAACAAGAGGGGATGAGTGCACGAAGGGGAAAACAGGGAGAATAAGGAAATGCAGTTCAAGAGAAGTGATTCGGAAAGTGGATCATAAGTTTTGCTGTGTGGTCAAAGAGAGTAGCAATCACGACCGATTTTTTGAAATGGAGTTTCCTAAAAATTTTACGTATCTAATTTAAAACCCTCTAGTTCTGAGACAAAAAAATTGTTTTATTTGTATATAACATCGGGTATACATGAGAAAATAGTACGTGTGCCAAAATTGGCATCATTTCGAAAAGAACAGCAGTAAGGCTCCTTTATTTTGCCGGAACGCAGTATTTCCTTCTGTCAAATGCAAATTGTCACTGTTTCCTGCCAAATTCTAACCTGAACTTACTCATCATCAGAACAATTTCTATGATTAATTTTTTTTTTGTTGAAAATAACTGACAGTTAAAAACTAGCCAAAATACGAATTTAAGCATTCTAATATACATTTCCTCTACAAAATACGTTAAACTCGATTTGCGCAGCGAAAATTACTGATATCAACTCCTTACCAAGATGTGAACGTTTTTATGCAGCACTGGTTAAAGAAATTAGAATTTCCCTTTCAGAAAAAAAACTCACACTTTATTTGAATCAACCTGCTCACTAAATCAGTTTGAACAATCTTCGCAATGAGCAGTGTTCCTTCCTCAAGGAAGTGTTGTTCCTTCCTTTCCAATTGTTGTTCTAAGTGTACGCAACGTGAAATAGCTGAACCGAGGTGCCGTGATTGAGGTTGTCATATTTAGTACCTACGAGACTGTAAGGTAGGTCGAGACCTATTGGTATTAACGTTTTGTGTGCTATTTAACTCGGGTCGATCATTGTTCTTTCTATGAGTGGAAAGTCTGAATTTATGCGTGAAAAAACGTAAATACCTGGGTGAGGAGTTACTTTCAGTGATTTTTGTTGTACGAATTGTGTCCTATGTGGAATTTTGATAAGAAATCAAGCATGTATTATGTAGTTTGAAGTTGCATCCTGTCTAGTGGTCCCTTTTTCTCAAAAATTCACTTCTGGTGTTACTGCACTCCTTGGTGACATAATAGTGCTGTTAAAAAATAATGGAGAGGGAAGCACCGTGTGTTACCATTACTGTTGATTTTTCATTTTGGTGTAAAATTTAAAAAAGTGCGTTTGACGACGTATGAAAGAGTATTTGAACTTCATACCCATTCCTTATGTGTAAAGAAAACACTGGGGGATAAACAAAACACTCCTGGGTCATTCCACGTCAACTGTGCCAGGCTCGGAACCCGACCCCCTCCGATTTGGCTGAAAATTGGTATACGGGGTCTTTACATCATTATAAGAAACTAATTTGAAGGGTTTTCCCATCCGACGCTCCGTTCGCGAGATATCGACCCCCAAAGATGGGGTGAATTTTAGCGATATTCAAAAAAGCCCGTTTTAGCGATTCTCATTTTCTCGACTTCATAATTAAAGGGGGAAAGTTTCAATTGACATCCTCGACCGATTTTGTGATTTCAAGTTCATTCGAGGGATTTATCTCAGAATCGGTTTTTTATTTATTTTTGGCAAGGGATTTATTTTTCATTTTATTTTTTTCCTTTCGAGTAAGTTTTTGGAACTTTTTGATGATTATTAGTCTTAGTGAACCTTGGGAATTCATCAAAGGTTTTTGCCTATCTTATACTTGATTAAAAGGAAGTGACACGTCAATTTCCTCGACCGGATTTTTTGCCCGAAAAATGTTTTTGGGGGTTTTTGTAATTTATAGGAGTACAAAGATTTATATATATTGAAGAAAATACAATGTTTAAAATAACAAATAATAAGGAGATTGACTAATGTGTGCCACTTGGAGAAGTTCTAAGTCTAGTTGAATAGAAGAAAATGAAGCTTGCATTTGAGTGAAGTGAGTGCATCAATCTTCAGTTAAGTTGAAGCATGTTCCTGTGAACACTTTCACAAACATATGAAAGCTCCTATCAAAATAAAGGCAACTACAGCAAAATAGTTTTATTGAGAGTATCTGTAAGACAATCGGAATAGAGAAAAGATGATTTTGAAGCTACATATTTTAAATCCTAGTTGGATGGAAACATTTTTGCCAAGCTAAAGATGAGGCATTACTTTTCATTAAATTGAGATCAATGCTGATAAGGGCTGCATTTAAGGAGGTTACTTGTTTGATATGTAATGATCTGACTTTTAGCAGATGAGATAAAAATCTAACAAACTGGATGAAAATTAGATGGCATTAATAAACCAGGGTTGGTGCAGCCAAAGAAAGATATAATTGAAGAACTTCCTGCAAATTTTTCGAGAACTGCAGACTGAAAAGGACCCTGCACACCTCTTATGGGAAAGTGAACCATGAAGGATCCTTAATTGTTTAATGGCATTCGATTCTCCTCAAGATGCTGATCAAAAGTTATCATTGCGCCAGCTTTCTACCGTTTTCTCAAAAAATGGCCGAGAAGATTCAATTATTCGGCGATGAAGAGCCAGAAAGAATCCTCATTTCAGCACTCGAGTGAACGGTCGGCTGTAAGTCAACAAGGAAATCAGGGGAACTCCCGCACCGAGCGGCAGTCTTGTCTCGGGATTCCGCACGCCGTTTTGCTCGACCATTCAAATCAGTTTCTCTCTCCCGCTCTACTCACCTCTTCCCCATGTTTCTAAATCGAATGCTTTGTTCTTTTTGATTCATTGTCGCCAAATAGTTGAATCTTCTCGGCCGTTGTTTGCAAAAACGGTGCATTGTAGAAAGTTGACAGAATGATAACTTTTGATCAGCATCTTGAGGAGAATCGAATGCCATAAAACAATTAAGGATCTGTCATGGTGCACTTTCCCATAAGAGGTGTGCGGGGTCCTTTAAAACTTTCATCACTACATTTTTGTCTCGCCCAATTACATTAACAAAGGCTGAGCTTTCATAGTAAAAGATCTAAACAAGTCCATACACGCCTTAGTAAGTGGATTAGATGTATTAAGTAAAGACAGGTATAGGGCGATCCTTTCATAGGAAGGAAATGACACAAAGTCAAGGTATATTCTCATATAGCACACTAAAAGATGACAATTTGATGAAATCAGACCATAAATCCCATCCTTCGATGAATTCTAAAAATCTTCAGTTTTATTAAATATTAGGGGACAAAACAAGGCTGCACAAACCCTATAACTGTAAAGAGCTCATAAGAGAGAACTGTAGTTATCTGAACAGAAATGATAAATAGATAACACTTCCCACGATTAAAAAAAACCAAACTCATCATCTAAGTCATTGTAGTCTTCATCAGAATCATTGGGAAAAGATTCACCTGAATCAATATCGAATTCATAGAGTTCACCATCATCTATAAAGTTATGAAGCAAATTATCTGAAACAAGTATCAAAGTTAGGTTAGGTCAGGTTATCCTAGAAATCTTGAAAAGATCAGATTCATTCGGACAAAAATTATTCTATTTCCATCTTTTAAGACAAATTGGAATACATTGCCAGGAAAAAGGGATAAGGGCAAAAACCTAGTTTTTAGTAAACTGCCTCTGAAAGTTTACTTTGTTTTTACAGACACGCAAGTGATAAAATCGCACAACCTACGGTCAATTCCAAAGTAGGATACCTTAGAGTTGGAAATAGTCACAACCTTTAAACGGCAATGTGAACATGTGTTCCTGAAGATCGCTGAAAATGCGATTTTGCTAAGTCCCCTTTTTCCGGCAAACAAATTTTAGGAGCTAAGAATGATGAAATATTCGGGATGAGATCAAATAAAATATGTATTGCTCCAAAATTAACATAAGATATTCTCCCTGACATTTAAGATATCATGTCATCAAAATAAAAAGAAAAACATCATGAGATTGAGAGTTTTCAGATTGTCTCGTAGGTTGCATGATGGTTAGATCCGTGATGTTTGTTCATCCTTCCTATAATTTTTACTGCACAAATGATGGAGAATGTCACTGTGAATTTTTACCTGCACTTTTTCAGTTGGTTGTCCTGTGATGGTAGGAGAAATGCTAACTTAACTAGAAAGCTAATTGTCATAATTTAGACCTGACTCAATTTGAAACAAAAAAGCATTCACTTCACTGGAACCAATGACCTCCTTCGGAGATTTCTTTCTCACCTGTCCTCAATTATTTCAACCTAATTATCTTGAGCCTATAGGAAGGGGCTGACAAATATTTTCCTTACCTACTGTAAATCTCGGATAATATAGGGAGAATCAGATTCACTGCCAGTGTTGCCGAACACTGACAATGAGTGGAAGTCCAAAAACACATTAGTGCAGACAGCGATGTGAGATAAGCTGAAACCCGCACAAAAATCTATAGAGACTGTGTAATACAGAATATAGAAGAATTGTATTTCAACCGAGCATGTGCTGCAGTGTCAGTGTATGCACGATGATGGGACGCACCGAAGGGATAGCTGAAAGGGGTGATGAGAAGGAACATACCTGGTAGAGAAAGAGTCAGTAGAGTAGCGATTGACCGATGTTTGACCCTTGATACCTAGTTTCACAAAATTAGATCGCACGGGAGCCGAGACAGGGCTGCTATCTTGGATTTTGGAATTTCGAAAATCTGAACGGAAATTCGAGTTTCCCGTCGTAAAATACTCCCTACTGCCGAGTTTCACAAAAATGGATCGAAAATAAAGGAAAGGAAATCAAAGAAAGAAGAAACTTACAATCAGTAAGGTGAATGACCTATAAGATGGAACATAAGCCCGTGTCCCACTATCAAATGCAAGATGGCGGAGATGCGTAGTGGTTTTCTGGCAAGTCCGCTGTGAAAAGTTAGGAAAAAAAAGAGGAGATACTCAGGTACGAAAGGCTAACACTATGTACTTGAAAGGAATAGGGGATGGAAAAGTTCGCGAGGGAGGCACACAGTTGGAAGATCAAATGCGATCGAGGCACACGACCTAGGACACAAAAAGGCCCTGCTGTGACGTCACGCGATACGATTCAACCTGTTCGACGGGGTGTGCGCAAACAACCCACAATCCATCTCTATGGAATTATTTCCGTAAACCTCGCGCGCGTTCACGAAACCTCGCGCGCGTTCACAAAGAAAGTCGGCGCGTGGTTGCGCCACTGGCGCGGAGCAATTCCATAGCGCGCGACATGGGTATCGCTGCGCGCTGTCAGTGTTTCTCCGCGCGAGGTGTAACTCGACGCGCGCGAGAGCAAACCCGCCACGCCCACGCGCCATGTAGGATCGCATGGCTCAAGGTTGTATGTTGCCAAACGTCTTTTTAATTAAAGTTTAAAACCTAACCTAACCCAACCTAACCTAACCTACTATTAAGCTAGAATTAAATCTACATTTGGCAGCCGTGTCTTGACCTTGTTAAGGCTCTGTAGCAGCGCGCGCGAGAGATTTTCGCCCGCGCGAGGTATTGTCGTGACCTTGGAGATTTCTTCGCGCGCGGTGAGTTTACTTCGCGCGCGGGGAGATTTTTTCGCGCGCGCGAAGATTCTTTGCGCGCGCCGACTCTACTGCTCACGCGCCGACTTTTTTCGTGAACGCGCGCGAGGTTTACGGAAATGATTCCATACATCTCTATAGGGAGAAACAACTTTTCGCTCCTGCGGCCGTCCTGAACAACTTTTACTAAACTTGATATTTTCTTTCTACGGATAGAGGCGTGTGCTATGTTGAGGAAAATAGCTTCGATCAATTCATTTGCGAGGGAGGGGGAGGTTTAGAGTGAGCTGGTACGGCCGCTTTAAATAGAGTAACTAGTCGTGATTAGCTTGCTATGCGAGCAGTCACGCCCAGCCGGGGAGTGCCTCTGAACCTCCTGAGGGGGGGGGGGGGGGGGAGTGCCCTGGGGAGTTCCTCGCGATTTGCTCCGCGAACCGCCCCTCATAGTTGTTAACTTGAAGAGTAATAATAATAATGAGACGACAACATCTTCACCACTTTGGCAATGGCCGCCATCTTGGATTTTGGAAATTTAAAAATCTGAAAAAATTCGAGTTTCCCGTCGAAAAATACTCCCTGTTGCCGAGTTTCACAACAATCGATCGAATAGGATCCGACACACCATTTTAGGCCGCGGCCGCTATCTTGGATTTTGAAAATCTGACCGAAAAATGTCGAGTTTCCCGTCAAAAAGTACCTCCTGATATCAAATTTCACAAAAATCCGTCGAAAAATACACCCTGATACCTGAAATTTCGTCTATAATGCTGTGACGTCAGCATTTTAGACCACGTTCGCCATTTGGGATTTTTGAAGTTTGAAAATCTGATCGAACATTCGAGTTTCCCGTCGAAAAGTACCCCCGAATACCGCGTTTCACGAAAATCGATCGAACAGGAGCCGACTTAGCATTTTAGGCCACGGCCGCCATCTTGGATTTTGAAATTTTGAAAATCCGACCAAAAATTCGAGTTCCTCGTAGAACAATACCCTCATTAACCTATTTTCACAAAAATCCGTCGAAAAATACCCCCTATAACCTTAAATTTCGTATATAAGGCTGTGACGTCACGCGACAAGATTGAACCTGTTCGGTGCGGTGCGCGTGAACAACCGCGTATCCCCAATGCATTACTATGGGGAGAAACAATTTGTCGCTGTTGCGGGCGTCCTAGGCAGCGGATTGGAATCTGATTAATTTTGATCAACTCCAAACGACAATAGCTAAGCGTGTATCAAGTATAAAGGCAATCGCTTTGGCCAATTTTTCTGTGGGGGGGGGCAGAGTGAGTGGGAACAGCAGAGTAATAAGTCGTACTTTGTTCGACGAAACAACTCGGAACATCTCGTAACAGTCGTATTTTGTTCGAATGTTATTTATGTTAAGGGGCGTGGCCTATTTTTATTTGTTTCATTATTTTGCACAATTCGGCAACGTTTTGCGACATTGTTTCGAAACAATCGGAACGTCCTCAGAGCTTTGTTACGACTGTTGTGTAAATTTGTTAACCAGATTTCTAACCTCACTTCTAGCTGCTTTGCTCTCATTGGTTGTGAAAAAGTGACGCAAATAACACAAAATCGGTAACAGGAAACAATTGTTGTGGCGAACAAAATACAACTATAATAATAATAATAATATTTTCACTTTCGCGGTTTCTTCCCTAACGGTTCTCCACGGTTCATTCATACAATTTAAACGAGGTTGCTTAGCCGCGTAGATTTTTCTCAACTCGGCCTACGCTCCGCAACTTTCTACAGAATTGCAACGATCCTTGATCTTACACACGTTCATGCGTGTTGCTACCGAATTTCATGTCCACAAGTGAATTAGAACCCCTGAAAAAGGAGATAATAACGAAAGCCGGCTTTTGGCGGCCGACATTCGGAGAGCCATGATAAGATACGGCTTGCCTCTCGGCTGATCTCTGTTCTAGAAGCGAATATTAGTTAGAGGTTTGGTACTCTTTTTGCCCTCGAACCTCCTAGCTGCCGTTCTATTAGAGTTCGGAACTTCCGATTTGGTGACTGACGAATCGCAAACGTCGGTGCGTAATTTTGGCACAACCTCGCGAGGCGGTCCTAAAAAAGGTTAGATCTGTAGAAAACCGATGGATCTGATTGATCAACTGTGTCCATTAGTGTTGATGGTTGATGAGACAAAACCGGGTAGAACCTCTCATAGAAGTTAGGAACTTTAAATAAAATTTGCTTTAGGTATGTACCTTCAAAAACATTCTCACCAAGTTTCATGCTGGTAGCCTAAAATGAAGTATCCTAGACCCCAAAATTCAACCTGGATAGGCAAAAAAGGATTGGTCCTGTCTTTTAAGCAGTGGCTATTTTCAGTTGTAACTTCATCATATTTCAGTACAAAATATCAAAAGGTTAAAATGTTTAAATGACTTACCTAAAGCGTGTTGGTGGATAAAGTTATCCTCAGACCAGTCTCCAAACCAGGCGCCCTCTAGATAAGGCTTTGCAGTAGAATTGCTTTCATAACTAATAGTGAGAAGAGGGTGGAGAGGTGGTAGTTTTGCTTCAGCTTCAGATCCACAGCTTGAGCTATCTGTTTCATCACTCCATTCACTTCCTGAATTATTTAATATATTACTCCTTGTTCCTTGACTAAGCCCTTTGACACCAGTACCTAACGGCGCGGCGGGGGGGGAGGGGGGGAAGAAGAGAGAAGTCAGTTAACAATGAGTTGATTCAAGAGACAAATTGTCCAGTTTAGGAGCGCTCAAGTGTTTTAGGATTGATTTTGAACGCTAGGAAGACTCTCAAGTTAATATTTACCTCAGAATTTAAAGAGATTCTTGACCCAGCCTAGGTCATCCAACATTCCAGTCACTCTGACTGGACTCCTTTCAGTGTTGGCACGAAAAGGCATGAAAAACTACAAACGTCAGCATGTTTGTACTTGTAATTTTACTAGTTTTGGAGGTTAAACCATCATTTTCATTTAAAGAGCCTCGCCAAGTTTCGCCCCTTTTTTTTATACCCGAGTTGGTCAACCGGACAGTGCTCAAATGAAAGCCTATGGTAAGGCAAACTTCCATGCAAAGTTTCAACTTGAAGTGACCCCTGGTTTAGACTGTACAGCGTTGCCAATTTTCCGGTTTCATGTGCTAAAATCAAGGATATTGGACTATTAGTCCGGTGCATAAGTAGACTAGTACACCCAAGTTGGTCAACGGGACAGGGCTCAAAC